AAATGAAAAAATGATAGACATAAGTGGGTCAGTCGCATATCCCCTCAGCATTCGAGCAGAGACAAAATATTCTCAATAAGCATTTCTTGGACCATATGTCAGAATTAGTCCATCTCTTCTCCCGCCTCCGCCGCCCCCCCCCCCCCCCCCCCCTCCCTTCCCTTCTTTTGAGAAAGCATTGAGCAATCCATAAATTCTTCCCATAAGGCTAGTCTAGATAAGAACTCCATTGGACATGATGACAAGATCCACCTGAATGCCTTAAAGTGGCCAATCTAAGGCGACGAATTAACCAGAAATTGCTAACTATAAGAATAAAAGGTCAATGTAAAACTTAAACCAGAGAAGGATATCTCAAATATCCTTCCATTTTGCTCATCACTTGATGCCTTATTAAAAGAGCAACTACATAATGGATATATCTACATCATAACTATCATCAATTAAGAGAAAGTATAACTAAAAGAGAAAATCAAAGAGAAGCAGGATAAGATTAAAAGCACTCGAAGAAGACTTCTCCTCTTCGACTCCTCCTTTACTGAATTCTTCTATGAAGTCTCGAAAGCGATTTATATCATCCCAAGTCTTAGGGAATAGACCAACCTACCTTCAAGAACAGAAGTTAGATAGCAATTGCCTCCTCATCCCGAAAGGAAATTGACCATCTCTCTCTTTAATTCAACAACTCGCGCTCGAAGGGTAATTAATTTGCATGCATCCTCCGCAAGCTTGGACTCCATGTTGCTCCCCCTTCACTCGAGTTGCTATATTATCCGCCATTTAAAAGTTAGAAAGAAGTTATTTAGTTCTACAGTTGGACCAAGGATAAAGGATCAATTTGAAAAGATCCCTCGTCCAAACCAATGCAACTTCAGAACGAATTTTATCCAATTCGATGTTCGGGGAATTGGATGTGACTGTTGGATAGTCAAAAGCCCTCTGTCCCATCATGTGCAATCTAATCTTAACTACACAACATTAGCGAGAATTTGTCACTCATTCCTAACGCTAATCACCATTTGTGCTTCAGAGGGCCCAAACCCAACGGAACCAGCTCGTGAACTCGATGGAAGTATCAATATCCAATCCTAGTGCTTGTTGGGAAGGGGACTTATCACTTAGCTTTAAGCAAACATGGTTGGATTATCTAACACCGCCGGCAAAGGTTTAAAAAGCACAAAAGTCACCAAACAATATATATACATAAAAACCTTTAGATGGGGAATATAACAGAATTCAAGAAAATAAAAGTAGTAGATAAAAATACATAAGAACAAAATATGCAAGATGTTCATACTCAACATATATTAATATCTACCATCATTAAAAAAAAAATTCAAACATTAAGAATAGGTGCCACATCTGGCCCAAAATACACGCCATTCAACACACTAATAATTTTTCATAGAAAAGGCTTAAATGATTATTCCTAACATTGTCTAAAGAGATACAACCAACTTGGAGGAGCTTCTTCAAAACGAGTTTCTAGCCAGAAAAAAAATTGTCTAGATTGAAAAGATTCTACTCTGTTGAACGAGAAGCAATCTAAGCTTCACTTCCTCAAACTCGCTGCGAGTCCCGAGGGAAGTCACTAAAGTTGTTGAAGTCGCCTTTGACCTCTATTCCAAAGTTATAACATGTTCTTTTAGTTCTTCAAAATCTTCTTCCAGCTTCACGAAATTGTCTTATAACCTCAACACTATAACATCTACCCATTTTGGGCTCCCAACAAATGCTATTTTCTCGACAATTGGTAAAAGATCCTTCTTATTTCTTGTTCCTTATGAGTAGTTGCCAGTCTAGCCAACAGTTCCTTCACGCCTTTCGTAAAAGAAGACTTGTAAGATGAAGAAGAAGATTTCCACAACATTCATTTTCGTAAGTTTTCTTCTCGATAACTTCATTGGCCTCCAAATCAATAACTTTTAAAGTGGGAGCCAAAGTTGACCGACTCTCTTCGAATACCAAAGAAGATGAAATCAAATACGAAAATCATTAAAATACTCTTAGAATAAGCCACAACACCTCTCAAAGTAGACTCATTTGCAACAGGCCCACACACAGGTAATGCAAGCACGACACCAATCCTAATAGCCTGTTCCGTCTTGACCCCTACATTCGTCTTCCCTCTGAGAAATATTGAAGAAACAGTACTAGAAATAAGAGTTGAAGAAGACTCACCTTCCTCCATTTTGACCAAGCGCCCCCTCTATTTTGGATCAAAGAGAAACAAGTTTCTCCACAAGCTCACAACTAAGGGAAGCTAAAAATGTTATAGCTCAAATGAAATCCAAACAAAACTCATACATATTTATAACAAAGAGTTGACACTTCAAAAGAACTCATTTTATAACCACTAAAATTAATTTTCATTAATGACGTTCTTGTTTATTTTTCTCTCAAGGTAAGGTAACGGCGTATCCACAAACATTACGGGTATTCACGTGGTAGTTATACTTTGACAAAGCAAGAAATCAACATATATACTCCATCCCAAATAGGGAAGCACCAACTTTTCACTTTGTATTTCATCATCTCTCCAATGTGTAGACCCCCTAGTGACCATAACGAGTCACATTATTCATTCCTCGCTAATTAGCATGGTTCCTCGCCTGAAACAACTCGACAAAGAGAAACTCTCTTGCACCCTATGTAGGTTATTTGCACAGAATAGATCGCCTTCACCACCCAAAAGGTAATGGTTGCTAAGTTAAGTATCGTCCATACCTTGCTCGGGAACACTTTTGACTACTCCCTATAGGCATAGCAATAATGTCACGAGGAAAAGCAAAGGCGGAGCCAAGCAGTGAGTTCCATAGACTACTTTCCAAAAAAAAAGTCAACTAAGCTTGATGGTGACAGAGCATGTAATTACGATTGAGCAATTGATAATCTTTTGTCGTGTCTCGATTGAGCAGAGCATTTTATGTCACTTCTCTAATAATGCATAGAGATTATCGATTTTTTTTATTTCTTTCAAGCTCTCTTTTTTCTCGCAGCATCCGATCGAAGAGATAAGAAAATCGATAAACTAAATGTATACGCCAAAAATGATTTATGGGCCTCCACGTGATAGCTGGGTTTTTATAAGCTTCCCAAACCTTGAAAGTCTGTCCCTTCTAAGGAAAGTTGTTATTCTTTAAGCGAGTTACAATGTCAAAGTTACCCAAATCACCAATCCTACCCGTAGAGATGATGAAATCAAGAGACCCTACGAGGCCTAGCGAGTCCTTTAGTCAAGAGGACTCATTCCTTTTTCTGAGCTTACAAATCTCTTTGATGGCACCCACCGTTAGGTCATTCAAAGAATGTGACATGTGCCACTCTAAAGAGGAGGCTTCAGCCATGATCTTTTAAGCAAGCAATGTGGTGCCCTTAATGAGTCTTGGTAACGACAACCCCAGAGAATAGGCCTTGAATGAACTATAAAAAGCAAGGGTAAAAAGAAGGGGAGAGGGGGAAGACTCTTTCTCCCTCTCTCTCCCCAAGCTCTTCAAATGCTCTGACTCTCAATCGCTGGAATTCTGAAGATCATATCCTTCCTCTCTCCCTCTTTCTCCTCTTCCTTCAATTTTACAAGATCTTTATTTGATTGTATGGATTCACTGATTATGTGGGATCATACATCCTAAGCGGATTCAATATATACATTATTTTTGGCAAATCTTGTAGCCCAACAACTACATCAAAGAATAATATCGCAATGTATGAAATATCAACAATTTTGTTGCAAAGAATAAAGCATGTTATTTAAGAAAAAAATCCATTACAATTCAAACAAAGTATGACTTAAAGATATACGATAATCCAAGTACAAGAAACATACTAATTTCATTCTATGGTTAGTATGATATAGTTGAAGAACTTTAAACGCCAAAACTGAGTCATTTTTTGTAAGCTAACTGACATCATATGGTCGAAAAATTGTAAAGACCATATTAAGCCAATTTACTTGGGCTAATTGACCAGAATAGCATTACACAAACAAAGACCACGTCAAGTTAAAAAATTATTTTTAACTGAAATATTTCTATGATATTGTTTCCAGCTAAACAACCATGCCAAACAGGCAAAAGCCCAACAACATAAATTAAAAGCGTGAAAAGTTGTTGTGTCGGTAAGGAGTCATTAATTGATGTAAACAAGAAAACTTGGCGTAGAAGTGGCATGGAGTCAATTTTCCAAGAAAAAGCAAAGCGCTAATGCTTGGTGACTTCAACAAAGCAGTCAAGTTCACGCTTCTTTAAAAACTGGTAAAGGGATGCTTGGTAAGCGGAATAAAGAGTGCATTGTAAAAGGAATGCGAAGGTTTTGAAAACACGGATGTTTGATCGGAAGCAAATAAATGTGGTGTAAAATTTCAATGCATTTTGAGGTCACTCTGTTTAGATTTTAATGTATTTGGAATTCATTAGATTTTGGTGAATTCCAGATGCACCATTTGTGCAAAGTTTTGCCCATCACAACAAAATATCGGCCACCGCCACTGGCAACCAGCCAATGCATGCCTATGCTACACCCGCCTCCTTTGCTAGCCGCTCGCTGCCATATGCCACCATTGCCGCCTGCTTGATGTTGATGCCCACGTCCATAGTGGTTGCCTGCTACTACGTGTTGCATGACACAGCTAGTTGCCACTCATGAGTTTTACACTGTATTTGTACTGTACTCACACAAACACAAAAATTTAAGTTCATGCATTGCCAGTGCATTCATCCAAATAACCATTTTACTTTTCAATATAGTAAATTTACTTTTGAAGTATTTCTTTTACTCTGCATTCTTTGTTCATCAAAACAAACAGTCCCTAAGATTACAAAGGGAACTAGCGAATTTACTGCTGCCTTCATGGTAATTATTCTAGGTTTTTTCTATCCACCCTGCAGACCTAAGTTCTAATAATTTGTCTCAAATATATGCCAATTTAAATTCCTAAGCAAAGGAAAAGATAAGTTTTATGATTTAGTATTAGGGAAAAAAACATAACTACTTGTGCTTACCTCAACTTTTCCTGTGGACGCAGAGGCAGATGTAACTTCCCTAACAGCTGAAAGAGCTGCTGCAGCAGCCATTCTAGACTCCTCACTTGTACAACTACGAACAGCTGCTGGTTTTTTCCCCAGATTCTCCTGAATGGCTGAAGTCTTCTTAGGCACAAGGCCTAGAGCCACCATCCAGTCCTAACAGGGATAAATGTGTTGGCCTTAAATGTCAATGCAATTTGCATGATGTGTTGTCCTGATTACAAGAACCTTCATCACAAATGTAACCATATAAGAAAAATAAGTTCTTACAGGAGTTTTCAGTGTTGCTTTTCTTTCTGGTGTTGACCTACTCATTAAGGTTTTTGGCATTTTAACAGGTAGGCCCCTATTCATCTGGTTCCAAGCAGCATCAACCCTAGCTTTTATTTCTGATAGAATCAGGACAAAAAGGTACAATTTAATCTAAAATGCCATTAAATTCAAACACTATTGGAGAAATGGAAGAGAACTAAAACAATTAAGGAAGAGTAAACAGATGTTGACAATTTGCACAAGAAAATAAAAGCAGATGTTGCCATTTAATGCATAACTGCGCCTGAACATAAATGGATGGCAATTTCTGGGTCAAAGCACAATAATAAAAGTAAAATTTAAGTATCATTGTCTTGTTAATTTATTCAATAATACTACAAAGAGAACACAGATTACACTAACCACTTTCTTCAAGCTCTTCCTTTAAATTAGGTCTCTGTTCAACCGCTTGAACGGGTCCATCTGAAATTTCACCAAGCTTTCCTACACCAATTACAGATTGAAAAGCCATAAAAACAACGTATTTTATTATGGTTATCACGAAATGAGATGAAAATGTACTCATCAACCAAGCAATGAGTTTCTGCCATTGATACCAAAAGGTTGGCTTAAAACAAATTAGTCTAACGCCAAAATTATTATGATAGTAGCACAAGGTGTGGAAATGTTCCATCCAATGAACCATCATATGGTAAAAATAACATTTTTCTACGAAGAAGCCATTTTATGGAATTGAAGTATGTTAAAATCACCCATAGACTTGTCCAGACCAGCAAGACTTGATATATTCCATAAGAGAAGAAATCCTAAATGAATAACATGAGAACTATGCAAAACAAATGTATCTTATTCATTTCAATATGATCCATTTTTTTCTTTTTATTAAAATAACAAATTATTCAAAATTTCATGCTAAAAATTGATTTTAGTACATATTAACATATACAGAACATTCATCATCATAAAAGTATATTGCACTCCCAAAGCCAGTGGCCTCAAGTCAGCAAGCAATCTTATTAAACCTATGACCGCCAAAAATCTGCAAAATCATGTGCAAATATCCAACTACCACAGATTTGCAGACTGAATAATTGTGCAAGTACACAAGTGCATAAGATGAAAATAAAGTGGAATATGTGCCATCATGACTGTAGAAGAGTAAGAAAAACACCAAACATTCTGTGATTTGCAGAAAATTATCCACCATGCATCAAAATGTTGTTAAGGAAATTCGAGTCCTGCAAGAATGATACATGCAGCAGGCAACAAATTGAAAAACAGGATCACAAAAATGCCAGAAAAACCAATTCAGAAAAGAGTAAAACAGCATTTAATCATTTCCAACGAAATGAGGTACAACTAACAAATGGTAACACTGGGGCCATCTAACTAATATCTTCCAAGATATACATGATTTTATTGTGGCCTGTATGCCAGATCAGAGCTGATTTTGATCTACTATTAGTCCAACAATAGGTTCAACTCTCCAAATAAAAAATATACTCATGCCAGCCATGACAAAAAAAGGAGTAGAAGTTTCCTTCTCCTTCTACTAATAGAATTTCCCTTAACGATGCTTATGATTCACTAACACTCCAAAATAATGAAATGTGAAATGTAAGACACGTGCACATGCTTGACAGGTGCACAACATATGTCAGACTTGCCATTTACTATCAAGTATGCATAAATTACACTGCAGAAATCCAATAAATGCAAATGAAATTCAACAATAAGCACAAATCTTCCTCACCTAAATCACCATATTTTTCAGAACTCCTAGTTTCATGTTTTGAAACCGAGATCATCTAAATACAAAATAAATTATCACTTATACTAGCTTAGATATGTACAAACCTAAATACAATTACTATAAATAGGAACCATGAACCAAGCAGTAAAATCTTCTCATTGTCCTAATGTGGATTATCTTCTAGGTTTGTATTTATATCAACAGTAACAGGTTTTCAATTGAAACTGTAATAATGTCAAAATCTACCCAGACTTCCCCAGCCCCAAAACAGCAACTATAAGTTTCTACATCATTGGTACCTAAGAATTCGATTCTACTTGTATTGATGTTTAAGTTTCTTAAAGAAAAGATAGCTAACCCGTCAAATGTGAATGGTGCTTCTCATAACCCAAAAATTACATCAATTGCATATTTGGCTGGTATTAGTTTGTCACAAATCTTATTTGCTTCATTTTTGTTGGAACAAAAAACAATGGTTCCACATCCATGAGTGACAATGAACTAATAAATTCATATTTCATGAATTAGGAAATATATAAACCCATACACCATCTTCATTTTGCAAGAAAACAAAACAAGAAACTGATGTGGATTTGGCTTTGCAAAGTTGCAAACTCCAATAAATCAAATCAAGAGATGTTAATCCCCAATTCAATTAAGAAACCAGTTAAGAACTTGAAATGTAGATTCACTACATTCATGCGAACAATCAACACAGATATTGCAAAGGGATATATTCTTAGACTTGACAACAAGCTAGAAAGTTTTTTTCTGGAAGAACAAATCAGTTTAGAAGCTAGGACATTTATCCAGTCAAAAACATTTCTGCCAATAGCTCGTGAAATAAATAGGACTTGATGATTTTAAATGATACTCAAGTCTACTAAAAAAGCACTGGTAATGCAATCAAAAATTTCTCAGCTGTCCTCAAGTGAAAGGATACTGTTCGTGTGTTATATGAAGATTCCAATCTTGTCCATCTTAGCTAACTTTTCCAAAGTCCTTGTCTTCGTGGATTCAGATTCTTCCCAATTAGGACAATACCAGAATGGCTCAATTACTCTATCCAAGCAATAAATTCAATTTCAATTGATTAGTTAGGTTTCTAATCTCACATAAAACCATTCTCGTTTAGCAGGAATAGCCTATGAAATCCAAAGAAAAATTAATAATGGCTGAAATGGCGGTAATAGCGCCATGCAGTTACCTTCTTTTAGGACAGGCACCAAGTCCCTTCTTTGTTGGGTAAAGATCTCTCTTTAGACAATATTATCCTGAATCTCTATTAACCTAAGCGCCAGAAATCAATAAGGAATAAAAAAACACCTGTTTGGCTGATGGCAAAGTAACACGATTCAACTGAGCGTTTTACCCATAACCTTGCTTACAACAAAACGCACTCCGTGTAAAAATATACACCACATGCAAAATTATAAACTTCTTCTTGGTTATTCAGTAAATTGGTGGATTTCTATAAACCCAACCATCCAAGAACACTGGAAGTTTCAGCAAGACGAAAGAAAGCCACCTCGTCTGTTTTTGCACTACACCTGTTAGGACCTTAAATGATACTACTGCACGGAAAAAAAAAAATCACTACTTGGGATTAATAGTAAACATATGACGCCAAACAAATCAATCCATTGAAAAAAAGAACCAAGCACAAATGAAATCCCCAAACCCTTGGTTTGGACCCTCAATGAAAAGCCGAGAAATATGGGTCCGAAAAGATCTACCGAGATAGGGCAATTTAAAAACCACAAAGAGCTTCAGGAGTCAAGACGAAAAGAGAATTGAATGTGAAATAAATATGCGGCAGAAAACCAAAAAGATCTACTGTGATAGGGCAGTTTAAAAACCAAAAAGAGCTTCGGGAATCAAAAAGAGAAGAGTATTGAATGTGAAATAAATAAGTGACAGAGGAACAAATACAGTGATCATATGATTTACTAATGTTTATGCTAACAGAAGAAAAAAAAAACTAAATTTGGCAATGGAACTAAACATTAAAAGAGAAATAATCTAGGGAACAAAAATAGCTCGTTCATCCTCCAAACCATTTGTCACCATTATTGAAAAAATGAGAAGGAGGTGAAGCTAGAAGGGAAAATTCGATGGTGATCGAGCCTTTCTACTCTCTCCGACATAGTGTTAACGTGTTGAATAGCTGATTGATGCCATCTGTTGAATGAGAATCAACAATAGTCATCAACGATCATGCAGCCAGGACAGGGAATTTGTATGCCGGTGGATGGGGTTAAGGCTGTTAAGGAAACAACATGAATCAACTATTTAAATTAGGTGATGTTTGATCAAGGAATTTAGAATTTAGTTAATTTTTAAAGAAAAAATTAAATTAAAAATATATATGATCATAGTTATATCGAAATAGATGTAAATTGTAAACGTAAGAAATAAAAAAAATCCAAATTGTCTTTTTAAGCAAATTTATTTTTATGATAGCAACATAAGTTATAGTCCTGTGAGTATTTGAATGATAGATTACAGCTCAAGTATGATTCTCGTTAGCATCATTATCATCTTTTGATTAGCTTCTACTTTTGATGCAATAAACTTAAGTTGAACATTTTTTAAAAAAACATAGAATTAATATTCAGTATTTATATGCTTTTTTGGAGTTATGTTGAGTCTGATTGTACCCATCGCCCCTTGCAATTCTAGCAATCATGTATTATAATAAAAGAGATGAAATGAAAACTCCAGATTTAAAAATGAATAATAATTGAATCTCATATTCAATGTTTAAACCATGTTTCAATAAGACTTGAACATACAATTCAAATATTTTGAAACAATAGTGAGCTGAGTTCAAATAATGCTCAAATATGACTTGAACATTTAATATGAGATTTCAACTCTTTGCTTTTTAACCCAGTTGTGTGTGTGTGTGTGTGTGTTATTTTTTTTTCTATCTCCTTCCTTCATAACCTAATGAGGCCTTTGTTAGAATGAATAATAACTATATTTTAACTATATTTTAGCCTATGTTCATTCAAAAAAAAAAAAAAACCAATCATTACTTTGTTAAAGTAACATTGTTTAATGTAATTATATTTTATGTAAAAATTTGACTTTTGAGTTCAAAATTGTTAAAACCATACTAGCTAGAACCTAACACATCTCTCCTATCCTGCACATGAACCTCCCTCGTCGCCTTCCCTCTCTTAGATTGTGCAAATCTCGTGACTCATCATGTCTATTTGCTCTTAGTCGCATCGCCTTTCTCCAGCCGTGACAATGGAGGCTAGTTCAACATAGTTCAGCGACTAAGGATGAGTCAGAATTTCAGCAAACCAATAAGGAAAAAAGAAAATAACAAATAATAAGTCAATGCTAAAGTTAGTCAAGTGAAACGTTAAAAAAAAAGTAAGATCAGGGCGAAACCCTAGCTGCATCTCCTCCATCTCCTTACAATGATAAAGCAGTCATGTTGCGACAATTTTTAAACACAGCACACAATTACCAATCATTAAAAAAAAACCGTAAAGAAGAATCATCAGGCCTCGATCGAAACTCGGCCATCTTGGCAGCAGAAGACGGAGAAAAGTCACAGAGTAAATAATTCCCCTTAAAAAATACATAATTTGTTCGCATCCAAACCTATAGAAACCACGCATGTTGTATTCCGCGCCATGATTTCGAACAACCTCTGGCTGGAAATCAAAATTACTGAGACACCGAGCTCCAAGCGCGGAGAAATGACCCTGCAACCACATAAATTTGTAATTGTATTAGTTGCCAAGAAACATCCGCAGATCCATTCACCAATGGAAACCGTTGTGTATCAATCACCACCGTCCATTTACATTCACACACGTGTCTCTTATCAGGATATTTTTGGTCGATACCGTGATGGTTAACGGTAACACCGACAATTTAAGAATTACATTATCCACTCTAAGATTTTTGGTGCGTTTGGGGCAGTTTATACGTTTCATGATAAACTGCGTATCCTGAAACGCGGCCCGAGGGCGGGCCGCAGGGTTTTACCCGTGACCTGCGGTTTAGTGTAAAAACTCAAACGCTTTTCGGATAAGCTGACGAAACTCGCGAACCGAACCCAACCGGTACGGCGGCGTTTTGAAAACGCCGCCCGCACTTATAAGCTGCCCCAAACGGGTGCTTTATCTAGTGTTATATGTAGGTCTATTTATAATCCTCAGTTTATATTCTGTATTTTGTAATCTTTTCTAGAATTGAAATAAAGCCGCCGCTATACTCCCGAGAACGCAGCATTTTTGCCGAATCTCGTTAAACGTATGTGTGTTCTTCTGAATTTTTGTCGATTCTTATTTTTCTTTGCTCTAATTTCCCGACAGCCCCCTATTTATTTATTTTGTAGCATATTTATGTTACCATTTTCTTTATACATCACTTATATGCATATCACCCATTCTAGTGTTAGGATTCATTTTCTTATTTCAGGATTCATAACAATACCTGGAAACTTTTTGTTTATCAACGAATGTTGTTTGGATGATCTTGCTTGTCTTGCTTTCTTCATTGTTGCACATTACGCACTATTATGTTCTTTACATATTTCTCATGAATCTTCATTATTAGAGTTGTTATTAAATCATTCCTGTGTTTTCTTTTTTTGATTGGATTTCCAACTAAACTAATAGAAATTTTGTTACATTTACTTTATGACATATAAATTTTCTTTCATAAATTTTAACAATATTTTCCTCTTTTGATTAATGGTTTTGAGTCTTTAAAAATGAATATCATTTTATTATCAATTGTAAGTTATTTATATTCATGATTTATAATTAGAATCACCGAACAGATTCTTTTGATTGGTAACCAAAAAAAAAAAAAACAAAGGAGAAGAATGAATTAAAGTTATTTGTTTATCTTAGAACTCCCATCTCACTTAATTTTGGACAAAATAAAGCTGCAATTTGAAAATTTTGGATTTCACTGATTTCGGCCTTAAATTCTATATTTACTAAATCTCGTGAATCTTTAGATTGAGTAAATATGGGAAGAACAAAGAGAAAGAATGGTGCAAACAGGCTTAGCTAAATGATTTCTGGCAGGAACAAAATGATAAATATGAGAGTTTCGCAAAGAGAGATGAGATGGGAAAATGTGGTGGTTTCAACAATGTTTAATTTTGCTTTATTTTTACTCATGATAATTTAATTATTTTAATAGATTAATAATTAATAATTAATAAATGTATTATCATATTTATTCTAATAAAATAACTATATACTTATTACTTAATTGTTAATAAATAAAAAAAAACATATTAAATTTTGATTTACTCAATAAATATATAAGTAGTTATTAACAAGTATAATTATTAACTACTTATTTATTACTTCAATTTATTTAAATATAAAATAATATAATTTAATGATTAATATTTTTTCAAAATAATAAAATAATCAAAATTTTATTATATATTTTATAGTCCAACAGATATAACAACCTTCTAAATCCCATCAGAAGTTTTCAAATAATTTGACATGATTTAAATTGATTTACTAAATTCACTACTAAAAAAAATTTAACATTTTATGTAGGATTTAGAAGATTACTAAATACGTATGACAAAGATTAAATTCGATTAAACCTTATGAAACCGTCTCAAACTTATTTTATAATTAGGTATGTTTATTGAAAATATGAATTTAATATTATATATTAATGTTGTAATTATCAAAATTCATTAAATTTGATTTAAATTTTGAATTATAAATTTGTTAATAAAACTAAATAATAATAATAATTAACGAGAGATTTATATGCATAGCACTGCGTTATAACTAATCATGGGCAGGATCGAGCCCACGTCTCCCACTCCCAAATGGACGGTGCCATGAGCTCCTCCTCCTGCGTCATGCCTGCCCGCGATGGCAAGGTCATGCCGACTAGAAAATTTGCCGCACGGCTACCTTGACGCCCTCGAGGAAATCGTCAACTGCCCCGACTGCAAGGAGTTGTATCAATCTGCAAGCGATTGCGAGGAAGAAGGACCGCTGAACCCGCCAGATTCCGGCGAAAAATGTCGTTTTCCCATACTTTATATCCCTTGCGTCAAAATTTCAGACTCCTCCCTTCTATGTGGAACCTCACAACACACTCTTAAGAAGCTTCCACTATCAACTTCCAACAATTCGGACTAACTCCAACTCGCGACCTTCAAGAGTGAGGGAAAATACAACCTCATTTCATCATTTCAGGGAGTTCTTATTGTATCAGGGCACCATACACAAATTTATGTTTGAAGTCTCATTATAATGCACTGGTTGGGTGTTTTTTAGATGAATAAGATCCACTTGTCACATGACACATTCTCACTTTACTCTGGACATCCGGATGTAATAATTTTTCTATTCTAATCGAGTATTTTTATGTAAATTTCATTGTTCTGTGTGCTATGTTGGTTAAAATCCCAAATCAATTAAACTAAATAATTTTTAAATAATAATCTTATTAATTAATTATTAATGATTATTAAATAATAATCTAATTAATTAATTAATAATGATTAATTATTTGTTAGATAAAAATGTTTAACTATATTTAATGAACAATTAAATTTATAATAATTCATAGTAAATTAATTAGACAAAAATGTATATAAATATAATTTCTTGATATATAATTAAAATCATTTATAATCATTAGTAATTATAAAAATAAAAATTAACTTAATAATAAAACTATATTATTTCTCGTGCGGGAGCAAACCCTCCGCTTCCCTCTACCGGTTTGCCCGAAATCATCACAATACCTCGACTTCATCCTTCTCTCTTGCGCCCGAAGCCCTAGTGCTACAGTCGGACTGGAGCTCTCTGTGAAGGCAACGACGGGACCGCGACGCACCAAGATCTCTGAAACCTGGTAAAACTCCCCTTTTCACTCCACTCCTACCTGACTAACCCTCGTCTTTCTCTTTCCTCCTCCTACACCCCCTTCGTGCGCCTCAGCTATGCCAAATCCTCTAAATCCACCTCCTAACGGGATTTACTGTATCTGGGATTTAAGGCAAAACGTAGGAGAAACGGGATTGAAGGCGCTGTAGGATATAAATTTGTCATTTTTGCTGTTTGACAGGATTTAGGTTAAATTATGCTTAAATCCTATTTGGTGACAGCCCCTTCCCCTCTCTGTCCGAAGCCCTAGCCTACATTCTCCTCTCCCGGTTTTGCCCAAACTTCCCATCGGCGCCCAAACCCTCGCTTATCTCCCTCCCGGTTTCGCCGAAACTTCCCATCGGCGCCCAAACCCTCGCTTATCTGCCTCCCGGTTTTTCCCAAAACCATCGCTTTCGTGAACGAACCTTCACGATACAGTCGCCATTAGAGCTACCTGGGAAGGCAACGACGGGATCGCGGCTTACAAGGACCACGAAACTCCCATCTTTCTCATCCTTTGGCTCCGCTACTACCAGAAACCATTTAGGAAGGTAAGCCTGTTTTTGGCATTCTTACTCTTCGCTCGTCTAATTTTTGCTGTTTGGCAGGATTTAGGTTAAATCCTGCTTAAATCCTGCTTCCTAGCAGCCATTTACTATTTGGTATAATTTTGAGTTAAATATTGCTTAAATCTTGCTCAAAATCTGCCACTAAATTGGGCCTTGATTTTACTCCATCATCTCTTTCCGTGCCTGGAAGATTTTGAACCTTTAACCCTAAGCCCAGTACAGCTGTTTTCACGGCTGCTTGAAGTCATTTGGAGTTGAAGCAAATCCGGGTGGAAAAGTTGTGAAGGCAATTTGTACACCCGTGTTTTGAATGCCTTAATTTTACTTTTGGTTTTATGTTATTCTAAAATGGGCGTTGCTTGTTCTTCTGGTGCTTCTACTGTTTACTTTTTGCTATCATTTATATTTTGTTTTGGAAAATCCTCTTAGGGAAACCATAATCCTAATTTTTGGTTTTGTTGCAGTTGGAAGTTGTTTGAATGATGCGATTTATTTGAAGCGCTGTAAGCTGCGTGGTAAGTTTTTTTTCTTTTGCTTTGTATGATGATTTACTTGTGTTTCTATTGACTAAATGATGACCTTTTACTTGTTCTCTGAATCAAACTTTCAGCTTCAGAAGTTAGTTTGATGTATTCTTACTTTGCTGACTTCACCTTTTCAGTACCTATTATCTCAACTCTGTAAAGTTATCTTCCTTAACCATATTTTCCTGAATCTCTCTTTAATGAAGAGTCAGAAATTCAGTAAGGAATAAAATCAAACTCGGCTCACTCTTTATTTGACTAATACCGGCTATCAATAAGACAATTTTTTAAGTATTGCTTAACAAAATGTATTGTGATGTACCAATCCAGACACAGTGCAAACTTAGCTTTCTCCACCAGAAGAAAGAAAATTACATTATTGATTTTTGCTTCTATCTACTGCTGAACAACTTATTTAGAGCTACAAGAATATTAAACACGTTTGTGCTATTAGTGTAGAAAAATCATTTGTCGGATTGTACATGGTAAATATTGGATTGCCAAACCCATTAATTTTGCAGAACAACTAAATTTCCAAATTGATATTTACAATTTTCATTGAATGGTTGAATTGGATGGGTCTAAAAGAGTTTGATTGCAATGGAGTTGTTCCAAAGAAAGAAAAGGTTTGGGGTTCATAGTTTGACTTAGGTGTAGTGTTTATTTAGGATTGCACATTGTATCTTTTCTAATTTTTGGGAGTTTGATAATTAAAATTATTAAGAGTATTTATTTTATTTTTAATATTTAAATTTATGTTAATATATTATATGTTAATTTTGATTGATAAAAAGTGGAACCTCTAAAGCTTAGAACTGAAATAAATTGAATTGAAGTAGGTTTTGAAACTTGAACCAATTAAAGCCTTACATTTTGCATATGGCTATGCAATTGGAACTACTAGGATACTAGGTCTCGAAGATGCATGTCCTTCTGTGAGAGCATCTTAAAATGAATTTTGAGGTTATTCTTTAGACCTTTACAAGTAATTGGAACGAACTATAAAGAAATGATTGTTGAATTAGGATCCAATTATTGTCAAATTTTATTGTGTATGATGGTTAGGTATTACGGCTTAAAATGGCCAGCACTGTTCATATTTCATGCAAGGGAATTTCAGAATTCATAAATTACAAGCCACCAATTAAGTCAGCAAATTGATCTCCTTAAATGTAAACAATTAGTTAGAATTATAGTCTAAATTAAAATGAAATAAACCAAATAATCTGAAAATCTCTGAGAATCTTGAACCACATTAGTTAATAAACAATTGTAATTTAATTTTTATAAATTATGTTTTAGTGGTGTCTAATTTGTACAAAGTGAAGAGCACTTAAGAGGCTAATATCAAATTATGTGGATGGCAATAAGAACTAGAAATAGAAGTACTTAAACAATAAAACCTTGGTTTCATTTTAGTTTAATAAGATTGCTTTCTTGGATTTGGATAGTTTCCCTTGCACCCTATTCAAAGAAACTCACATTTGATTTTCCGCGCAAGATTGAAAGCTAGAAAGAGAATTTCAGTTTAGCATTTTTGAATTTATTTTGATGGACTCATCTTTTAGTCTAGTAGATTTGGTTGGCATACGATGAACTAAATTTAATTTTGAATTAAAACTTTAAAAGATAGTACTTTAATTTAAATTAATAACCAACTCTTTTTTTATTAGCTGAACATGTCGCAGGAAGTATAGAATACCGTACACATATATAATAAGTTGATAATCTCTTAAGATAAAATTGCTGCTCCACAAAAATCTTCACAAAAAGCCACAACTCAACAAAATTTGTTGATTGTGAGTGAACAATTAGGAATGAAGATGACTTGTTGAGAAAAATCTAGAAAAACTTGTTTCAAATTCCATAAACTAGAGGAATATCCTTTTTGCTGAGTAAACAAATTTTCAGTTTTGCATGCATTCATTATTGTATGTAATTTGGGCCCTTTAAACCAAAAACTATATTATCAATATGAGAATCAATCTAAATCAAATCAAAATTGAAACAAGCTCAAATCATTTGAACGAATCTTGTACTAGGAAATAAAATACATCCCTCTTATCAGTCATCATTACTAGCATATTTTTATTTATAGAAATAACTAAATAAAAAATAAACCAAGTACTGAAGAACAGGACTTGCTATGCAGTGCTTGATGCGATGCTTCCAACAAGAATTAACAAAAACATAATGTGCTTGGTGTAATTGGATTAACCATAAGCTATACTGTGCGGTAGTATTTAAGCTATAGCTATACAGTCATTAGATTCTCTGTTGCAAAGGAATGTTTTGTATTGTTAAAGTTTGAACAGATAATCTGAGAGATTAAACTTTCCATTTTTTCTATATCTGTTATGAATTAAATTTCAAGTTTGATATCGTTGAGGTTCATTTCATAATGAAAAACGGGCTGCACTGTCAATTCAAGTAATGACATCTCGAAAGTAATTATTTGAACTGAAATTTATATTTTGTCCAGGCTGCTAATACTTTTTTGCTTAGATTAGTTTCTTGAAATTTTTTAACTGAAAGATTATAGCTTTTTAGGTTTTGAGGAATATAATATTTGTATTTTCTCTATTTTGTGATTCTTTGCATTTGATTCTAATATATCAAACCTTATGTTATCTTTGTTGCCTTGTAAATCTTAGTAAGAATGGCTTAAGAGGTATTTTTTTTTGGTGATGGGTTAAGAGAGTAGTGTTTTTCTTCTGCTTCATTACATTACATGTTTATCATTTTATGTATTTCACATTTTAAAATTTAATTGAACATAAGCCCCAAATGGAAATGTTATCCTAAAAGAACGAGGCATGAGTTCAGGAAGGGCCACCGTATTGGTTCTTTCCCTTTCTTTTAGAAGGGTGCAATCTCTCCAAAGAAGTGACTCCTTTATTTATCTTTTGGGGGCCATCCCAGAGAGGGTAAAAAAAGAAATCCAGAAATGTTACTCTTTACCACAAAAAAATAAATAAATAAGTAAAAATAAAAAAGGAAAAATACCTTCATCCAATGCTGCCCTATGCCACTTTCTCATTTGTGCCTTCATTGTCCTGCAATATCTGTTCCTAATTTGCTGCTGAACCTAAAGATTCAAAAGCATTCGTGTTCTGTATCCACCATTTTTTTATCCAGTAATATTTTATGCCACATCCCTCCCAGTTCTTTTATCTACTTCACTCAAGTTTTGAAGGCGTGCTTGTTGTTTTTACTTAACTGTTGATATTTATGAAACAATTTTTTGCTCCTATCACACATTCTGTAGCTAGGATTTGTGTAATTCATTTTCTAAATGCTATTTCTAGGACTCAGATGAACCAAGCTTAGCCAAGCAGTAATTTGCTCTAGCCTGAACTTGTTTGCCAAAACCGAGTTCAAGCTCGATAATCATGATTCGTTTAAAATTATGGCTTTTTGAGTTTAGTTTAAGACAAGAAACATTATTGAGCAGCTTGTTAGTTGTTCAAACAAATGTTATTGAATACAAGCAACTTGTTGAGCTTAAAAATAAATCATAATTGAATGAACTATTAAATTAAAAAGTATTTTAATGAGCATTAGTAAGCGAGAGTATTCATAAAGTAATCTAATAAAGAAAAGTTCAAATAATCATATGTTGAATAAATTTACAGTCGAGGTTAAATGAGCATATTACCCAGCTTTAAATGAGCTTCTTAAAGAGCATGTTAATGACTTTTAATTGATATTGTTTTTTATCATAATTGAGTTGACCATCAAGCTGTTCAAGATTTTCTTTTATCAATAGAGTATTTATAAATATGTTTAAGCTTGTTTGATTAGTTAATGTAATGATCATGAGCTAGTTGTAACCAAGCGAGCCAAAAATAGCTTCTGGTTCATATTCATTCATTTTCTGCCCTAGTTACTGCAGAAAACTCTTTGTTTTTGATGGGAATGTACGTTGCTTGCTGAGTTTAATCTTGATGTTTCTGTTAATGTTTCTTTATTGATTGATTTTTTTTTTTTGCTTAATCAGGTTTTCTAATGAGATAATGTTGATTTTTTTTTTTGTTTTTTTAGATTTGAGATTAATTAAACATGCATTTGCAATGTTTATTTGCTTTATTCTTGGGGGTACAAAAGTTATTTTTGCATTAAAAGGCCTGGTTCTTAATTTTATTTCGTTTTTTTTTTTGTTGCTAACACCATAAATAATTTGGTTTCATACTGGAAATTTAAGTTATCATGTGAGAGACTTTTAATTAACAAACATATTCTCTGCTACCATGTTACACATACTTTTATTTTATATGCTAGCTCGTAACCATCCTATTTTGTTATTGATATTGCCCTACACAAAATTCTCATAGTTCTATATAATAGATTTTACTTATTTTATTGATATTGCTCTACACCATTCTGCTCCATTTGGTTTGAAGGAATTAGAAGAGATATAATGAAAGTGATAGAAGGAATTGATTTTGAATTGCTCTCACCCTCGTTTTTTGTTGATGAAAAATTGAATGAAGAATGAAAGCCACAATAGCATTTTACTGTATATATTAGTTCTTAAACATGTTACAGTTGTTTTGACTCCTATATGCTGGGATTTTTATGCAGGCAAAGCATTAGTTTAATTGATGGCTCCAATGGCTGATCTTAGAAATGGTAACACAAGACCTCCAGCATCTGGATCTGCTGGCGCTTACACAATTGATGTTGTTAACTTCAGCAATCGGTTGAAAGTGTTTTACACTCACTGGCGGGAAAATAAGTCTGATCTTTGGGGCGCTTCATCTTCTATTGCTATTACTACACCCCCTCCTTCTGATGATATTCGATATCTAAAATCCTCGGCCTTGCATATCTGGTTGTTTGGATATGAATTTCCAGAAACGATTATGGTTTTTATGAACAAAAAGATCCATTTCTTGTGCAGTCCGAAGAAGGCTGCTGTCCTAGAAACTGTAAAAAAATCGGCAAAGGATGCTGTTGATGCTGAAATCATAATTCACGTCAAGCAAAAAAGTGATGATCTATCTGCTTTGATTGATGTTTTATTACACGCCATTCAAAGTGAGTCAGAGAAGCCAATTGTTGGCCGAATTCAACGAGAAGAACCAGAAGGAAAGCTCATGGAAAGCTGGACAGAGAAGTTGGCTGGCTCTAATTTTCAGCTTTCTGACATCACGGCTGGGTTTTCTGAATTGTTTGCTATCAAGGATGCCTCTGAGCTTAACTGTGTGAGGAAGGGAGCGTATCTCACTGCAATGGTGATGAAAAACTTTGTCGTTCCAAAGCTTGAGCAAACTATTGATGAGGAGAAGAAGGTCTCCCATTCAACTCTTATGGAAGAGACGGAGAAGGCAATTAACGATCCTATTAAATTGAAGGTCAAGCTGAAGGCTGAAAATGTTGATATTTGCTACCCTCCGATTCTTCAGAGTGGGGGAAAGTTTGATTTGAGGCCGAGCGCATCATGCAATGATGATAATCTCTACTACGAATCTTCAAGTGTGATTTTATGTGCATTAGGGGCACGCTATGGCAGCTATTGCTCAAATATTGCTCGGACTTTTCTTATTGATGCTAACGCTAAACAGATCAAAGCATATGAGGTTCTCCTCAAGGCACAGAATGCTGCCATCAGTGCATTGAAGCCTGGGAACATGCTCAGTTCTGCTTACAGAGCTGCTGTTTCAGTTGTTGAGAACGAAGCCCCTGAGCTTCTTCAAAATCTTTCCAAGTCAGCTGGGACAGGAATTGGTTTGGAGTTCCGTGAATCTGGGTTGACTTTGAATGCAAGAAATGATCACAAGGTGAAACCGGGGATGGTTTTCAATGTTTCTCTTGGATTTCAGAACCTGCAATCTCAGACTAACAATCCAAAGACTGAAACATTCTCTCTGCTTTTGGCTGATACAGTTATTATTGCAAGTGAGAAGCCTTCAGAAGTATTGACTTCCATTTGCTCTAAGGCTGTCAAGGATGTTGCTTATTCTTTCAAAGAAGACGAGGAGGAACCATCCAAGAAGGAATCTGATGTCAGTATCGCTGAGGCCGTCTTATCTAAGGCATCCTTGAGGTCAGATAAGCATGATGTATCAAAGGAAGAACTGCGGAGGCAACACCAAGCAGAACTTGCCAGGCAAAAGAATGAGGAAACGGCCAGGCGGCTGGCCGTGGGTGGCCCTGCTACCGGGAATACTCGTGGGCCTGTGAAAGCTTCGAGTGAAATGATGACCTACAAAAATGTTAGTGATCTTCCATATGCTAAGGAATTTATGATCCAAGTGGATCAGAAGAATGAAGCTGTTCTCATCCCAATTTTTGACACTGTTGTGCCTTTCCATGTGTCCACTATCAAGAGTGTTACCAGCAATCAAGATAATCGAACATGCACTGTTCGCATTATATTCAATGTGCCCGGTACCCCATTCTCGCCTCATGATGCCAACTCTATCAAGCACCAGGGTGCTATATTTTTGAAAGAGGCGACCTTCCGTTCTAAGGACCCAAGACATAGCAGCGAAGTTGTTCAGTTAATTAAGACCCTTAGAAGGCAAGTCGCATCAAGGGAGTCGGAGAGAGCTGAGAGGGCCACTTTAGTCACTCAGGAAAAACTTCAACTAGCTGGTAATAGGATGAAACCAATAAGATTGTTGGATTTGTCGATACGACCTGCATTCCCTGGTCGTGGACGAAAGCTCACCGGATCTTTGGAAGCTCATATTAATGGTTTTCGTTATTCTACTTCGAAAATTGATGAGCGAGTCGATATCATGTATGGAAATATAAAGCACGCCTTCTTCCAGCCTGCAGAGAGAGAGATGATAACGCTTTTGCACTTTCGCTTGCATAATCACATAATGGTAGGCAACAAGAAGACCTTAGACATTCAGTTTTATGTAGAGGTGATGGATGTTGTTCAGACGCTTGGGGGTGGGAGGAGATCAGCCCTTGATCCTGATGAGATCGAGGAGGAGCAGCGGGAGAGGGATAGAAAGAACAAAATAAACCTGGAATTCCAGAACTTTGTTAATAAGGTGCATGATCATTGGGGACAACCCCAATTCAGAGATTTAGATCTTGAGTTTGATCAGCCTCTCAGAGAGCTTGGTTTCCATGGAGTTCCCCATAAGGCTTCATCCTTCATTGTTCCATCTTCAAGCTGTTTAGTTGAACTGATTGAGACGCCGCCTCTAGTGATTACCTTGAGCGAAATTGAAATTGTTAATTTGGAGAGGGTGGGTCTAGGGCAGAAGAGCTTTGACATGGCCATTGTGTTTAAGGATTTTAGTAAGGATGTATTCCGCATAGATTCAATTCCGTCTTCTTCGCTCGATGGAGTGAAGGAATGGCTAGATACTACTGATATCAAGTACTACGAGAGCAGGCTGAACTTGAACTGGAGACCTATATTGAAAACTATCACTGATGATCCGGAAAAGTTCATTGAAGATGGTGGGTGGGAGTTTCTCAACCTGGAAGCCAGCGATTCAGACTCTGATGCATCTCAGGAATCAGATCAAGGGTACGCACCGTCTGATATGGAGGTCGAGTCTGAATCCGATGATGATGATAATGATAGCGAGTCTCTGGTGGAGTCAGAGGAAGACGAGGAAGACGATTCAGAGGAGGATTCAGAGGAAGACAAGGGAAAGACATGGGAGGAACTAGAGAAGGAGGCGAGCAGAGCTGACCGGGAAAGAGGCGGCGAGTCTGACAGCGAAGAGGAGAGGAAATGGAGGAAGGCGAAGGCTCTGGGAAAATCACGCCTTCCTGATAGAAGAGATTTGAAAGCCGCTCCTTCTAAGAGGCCAAAGCTTAGGTAACATGGTTAAAGTTTATGATAATTGCCAGTACTTAGCAATTATTTAGCAGTTCAGGTGATGCTGTATCAGTTATCCTCTAGTTTTATTATTTTGCAAAAATAGTTTGATGTTTTGCAGCGTGAGCCAGCTCTGTTGGTTCCGGGCAAATCATGTAATTGGGTCAATTTTCCCTCAACTTTGTTGTATCATCTACACGTTGGAACTCATTATGGTATAATTTTCTTCATCGTTTCTGATTTCTCAAGCCTGTAGTTTTGTGCTGCATACTCTGTGCTTCATATTCTGTTTGTATTTTATTAATTGCAGGACTGTTAAAGATCAGAATCTTTGATACTAATTGATTTCGGTATATAGAGGGACATTTACATACATGCATCACATAATATCTTTGTGGATAATTAGTAGCTATAATAGAGAATTGTGATCAAATTGTAATGGAGCTTTGAGATCAGGTGTACAATGATCTATTTAATTTAATGATTTTTGCAACACTTAATATATTATAGTAATAGATTTTATAAAAGATTCGTTGAAGTGATTGTCAAAGCTCTTCCACAACATTTATTTTTCTCATCACTCATGTTAAGAAGATCCAAAAATTCTCATATATTTTTATATTTTTTAACAGTATCAAGCACATAAATAATTAGTTCAAATCCAAAGATGAAATAATAATAATAATAATAATAATAATAATAGTAATAATGAAAAACAAACTCAGTCTAATAAATCATTCAAAAAAGGACTATAAATCAAACCTAAGCCATATTTAGGGTTGTCATTGAGCCAAGTTGACTCGTGAGCTAGGATTTGTTTCAATAAATGGCTCGTGAGGTGAGTTTTATAAGCTAAAAGCTAAGCTCAAGCCAAAATCGATTGGACTAGTTAGCCTGTGAGTACACTCATTTAAGAAAATATTAATATTAAATAAATTCAAAGTATATTAAAATTCAATTTATTTTTTCCAAATATGTAAAATATTTTAAAAATATATTTTTTTAAATTTTAGATAAATGCTTTCTTATTATTTATCTAATAATTATTCATTCTATTTATCATTTATTTATAACATGAACTTGAATTGATAATAATTTATCTCTTTCATAATATACAAGCCAGCTGCCAACTTGAACTGGTAAAATTAAACTCAAGTTTGAGTTCCAACTTGTTTAATTAATCAAGCATAAGCTCAAGCCAATGGCGTCTCGAACTCGACTCTACTCTTCAAACTCGTAACCTTACTTGTTCTCTAAAAATTATAAAATAAATAAAAAGGGAGTAATTACATAAAAAACACCCGAAACATTGCTATTTACATATCAAGCACCCATATGATTTTTGAGCTACCGAACATGTGTATTTACACGCGGCACAATAAAAACATAGAGTTTGATAAGTGAGTTTGAAAAGTGGATGAAAAAATTTGCTAGATTTATAAATAGTAATGTTTCAGGTGCTCTATTTGCAATCGTCAAAAAAAAATAAAAATAAAAAAAATTGTAGTCAGATCAGGAGATATAACCACAATCCTCAATATATAATGAATACCAAAGTTGAATTTTAGCTGATTGTCCAAAAGAAGGGTCTTTCAATTCATACAACTCTTGCCAATGCAACATGAGTAGTATATTCTACATTGATGTTTCAAGGTTTTGGCCATAATGGAGGCAATCTAACTATTTCTCTAGGCTTCCCCTCTACTATTAGTATATTTTATGTGAATTTGTTTTATGCTTGCATATAAATTGACTTGGACTATAATTATTAGTTTCAAGGGTTATGTTATTCAATGATTCAATTTTCAACAATTGTGAATCCAAAACTATGTTAACATCTTCTAACCATGATCTACTGCACAAAGCCAACTCACTCAAGTTTTTGTTGATTTCTATTATTTTTTATCATTGGAATGGATGGTTATTCTATAGGCCTCAACTAGAGTGTCATTTTCCATTTTCTTTGAAAATATTCACTTTGTATTTTTCTTTTAAATGTGTTGCAATTTACAAATTGTTCATGCTACGCCTTTTGGTGATAGTTTTAACAAGATTTTTTTTCTTGATTACTATGTAAATACTAATTATTAATGATGTTTTGTAATGTTACGTGATCAAAATGACCCAATGCAACACTTTTATATCATAACTATATATGGAAAAATAAGTAGCGTGCAGATATAATTTATTTATTTGAAACAAGTTTTTGAGATTTATAAACAAAAAACACATATTTCAAAAAATTTTTCCCTTTATTTTTTAATTCAATTTGAACTTTTTATTAATTATATATTTGAAGAGGGTGAAAAACAGTATAATGTCTATAATTGATGATGGTATATGTATTACTTTATCTTTAATTCAGTGATATGTTCATCTTTGAGCTACCCACATAATTCATATGATAGACAATAATGTTATGTTCTTCACAGAATGAATGTACTGTATAAAAAAAAATACATGGTGCCTTCTATATCTTACAATTTTTGTTAAAATGCTTGCACAAAAGATCAACATTCACAATATATATATTTTTTCATTTCTTTGTAATGCTTGCTATAAGTTATTAATGGATTTATGTATATCATTCATCAAATATAGAAAAAATGCACTTTCAAAAGACTAAACACTATCACGACTCCACCCAGAGACATGGAGTACCAATGTGGTAATAGACGGTCGTACAATAGTAACATAAAATTTAACAACAACCATAATCCTTAATAATATCCAATGATAAAAAAACTTACTAATGCACACTCCACATTAAATATCATCTAACAAAATGCATATGATCATGCAACTTTAAACAATGATAAAAAATAAAGAAACTTAACATAGGAACCAAACAATCTACTACATATTTTCAATAATTTCTATCAATCTATAAATAAATTCTCTTCTAGCAATCATATTAATCTAACAAATTTTTTTCCTAAAATAAACATAAAAAAGTTATATTAAGTTTACAATACCTTGGTGAATAATTATACTTTTATTATGTAATAAATTGTTATGCAAATGCTTAAACACATAAATGCTCAAAAGAAACATGATAATTAAACTATAAAACAAGCTTTAAGGTTTTCATTTTAATAACAACTTTTATTATTTCAATTTTTAGTTTCTTATATTTTTCATTTTCATTTCTTCTAAGAACTCATATTTCACAAATATTGTCAAAAATCATTTTTTTAATGAAGGATATAACATTTTCATTTTATATTTTCAATTCTTAGAAAGTATAATTTAATTTAAGCTAAAATTTGGACCTAATAATTAATATATTAATTTAAATTAAACAAATCTAAAATTAAAATTTCCCCGTCTTTCGGCTCGGTTTGGCCTTTACCGCACGCGAGGCTGACCCCGCTCACGCGAATCCTCCTGCACGCACACCTCTCCTCTCTTCTTCCTTCGCGCACAAAGGTTCATCAATACAACTCCGGCTTCTTCTCCTGAGCCTGTGCGTGAAGCAAACGGAGGAGAAGGCGACGACGCTGCGCGGTGTTGATTGCATTGTGCGGTGCTGCTCGCGGGAGTGGCAACAGTCTTGCAGGTTGAGCGGTAACGCGAGCAGTTCACAGGTTTGCAGTTGTTAGTGCCTTGTTTTCTGGGTAGAATTCATGTATCTGCAACTGGTATCGATCCCTAGGAATAATCAATCAAATTATTTGTTATAGATTTTTGCTGGTATTGTGCCCTACTTATAATCAATGAGGATAATTACAAAAATCTAGCACCCGAAACATTGTTATTTACGAAAATCTAGCACCCATATGATATTTTTGAGATACCGAACTAATTTATTTATGCGTGCCACGATGATTCATTGAGAATTTGATAAAATTGAAAAATATGGGTTGGGGTTTTAATTTGATATTTGAGTGAAGATTTGAAAAATTGATGATAGAGGGTGCTAGATTTCTGTTCATTAAAAAAAAGATAACCTTTGCAATTAAACTCATTAATGTCTCATACTGTCATTCCATAATATGTATCATCTATGTCTTTAGGTTTATTTCTTGAGTTTATCGATCAAATTTTGGAATAAACTATCTTTAAGTATCTTTTTTGGATGAAGTTGGCTATTTCATTGGATTTATCTCTAAAATACTTCTTGATTATCCCCTGCAATTGAATATAATTTTTTATGGAGCATTTTTAATTATCACTTTTGTTTAGGACAGGTTCTACTTGTTGGGAGAATCCAAATTTTCTTTTTTAGAAATCTCATTCTTGCACTCGAACTACCCATAGTAAGGGACATCAGTCATTCCTTAGGGATGAAGCTCCTGGAAAAACTTAAGCTCTCAATTAAGTGATTAAGCTACATACTTTGATTTAGGTTTGGATGGTATTTTGTTAGGGATCCAATCAAACCTAAAATTTTAGTGGATTTGAGTTGCGGTTAAAATGAGTATAAAGCGCTTACACTGATGGTGAACATAGTAGTTCGATAATTATTATTTGAATCATATAGAAATGATGCGCACCTTGAGTTGATGAGTTCATATGTTTTGCATAAGTAGGATTGACTGGGGTTGAGCTGACTCGTTGTGGTGGTGGGTGGCTTTGGCAGGGAAGGTGTGCTGGATTACCATAAGTAAATGAGAGGAATAAAGGCTCTCTATTTTTCTATGTACATCATTGGAGGCTACTGATCGCTCTATGAGTCAAAAGGGAGATTGATTTGAAATACATCATTTAAAATAGAGTTTTATCGTGATTAGTTTTGGATAATCTCTCTAGAGGTCTTGGGCATGCGACTTGTACCAATGTTTGAGACCATGTTTGGAGATTATGCTTATTGAAACTTCTGACATGCCTTCCAATCCTTATTTTCTTTGATGTAGGTTTGCGGTTAAAAATGGTCCACTTTACTCTTCTTTGGTTTAATTAGCACTCTAATTATGCGAATACAATTATATCAGCAAGAAGCAAATTGTTATTATTGTTTTCTTTTTAGTTTATAAGGCCATGAAAAAGAGGAAGACAAATCATTTACAAGAAAAGATTTTCCAATTTATAAATAAGACAGGTTTAAATTTTAGGTTGTGGAAAAAAATTTAAATTTTTTTTTAAATAATTGTTAAAGATTTAAATAAGGTTGGTATTTATAAGATAGGTTTTCCAACTTACAAATCATTTATAAGATAATCTTCCAACCCTGATTTTCTTAAATAATAGTTCTCATAATTGTGTAACAAACTTTAAGAATTTAACGAATAGAGTTAGCTTATTAAAATAATTGTTTTACATGAACTCTGATCATAATAGAATTGGTTATTATCATTGCGCCTTCTAAAATTTGCAGAGTTTTGTTCTCGTCTTTCTCCAACAACTACACCACACAAGCATAACCACTTATCCTTATCATTTAAAATTTCAGCATAACTTCTACTTGAATTATAAAACTAGAAAAATTATAATTGAAATCAACCCTTTAATTTAGTTACAGTCTAAGTTAAAAACTATTAAAAAATGGTGAGCAATAAAATCACTTCTAACTTCATGGCCTAAATGGCTTTAAACACCTGACAGAGCAATTTTTCCTTTCCTTTGCATCTTCTTACAGCGTGAGTTGGACTTTGAATCTCATGAACAATACTCTCTGTGGTTTGCATGAACAATTAGCAATAATTATTATTTCTCATGAATAGTAACGGTGTTAATACTGTGAAATATGAAAAATAGAAGAAAGAAAAGAGAAAAGAGAAGAGAGAGAGAGAGAGAGAGAGAGAGGAAATGAGGGAAGATAGAGAGAGATCAGATTTTCATTACCTTCATCACTTGCTTTCTTCCAAATTAGCTGGCTACATTCATTCACTCAACAGATTTGATTATCTTGCTCAATGGTATCAACACAAGTCCTGATAAAGTACCACCCATGTTCTCATGTTGATTTGAGTTACAACCTTACCAATTAATGATTCATAGTTGTTAGAACATGATATCTACTTCGAGCTTATTACACTTTTAGTCTTTAACAATGCTTGTGCTTTAGGGGAATTGATGCGTGCATGAATTTGGAATTCTATTTTGTCATCAATATTTCATATATTGATGTCTTTTAGTCCTCTAGGTCATTTCATTGTTTTATTAGAGATGTTTCAGTCTATCATTAATTTCTTAGTAATTTACGAGCTCTTTGTTAGCAATTCAATTCTAATTTGTTATTCCGTTATTTATCTATAAATTGATTTGTGTAGAGACATGTAACACACACACATGATCGAAGGGAATAGGCTCCCTCTCTTCACTTTGAGGGGGGAGAAGAAGAGAAGGAGAAACATATTGTGAATTGTTTTGACTGGCTAGGCCCCATATTTTTTTCCTTTTTAGGGTTTTAACCCGTGCTCCCTGTCATGAGAGAAGGGTGTACCCCTGTACTTACAAACATATTGTGAATTGGTTTGACTGGGCTAGGCCCCATGATTTTTTTTTTCTTTTAAGGTTTTTTCACATACAAATTCCGGTGTTTCCCTTTACTATATTATCTTATTTGTGTGTGTTGAATTTTTGTATGATTCTAAAATAATCACTACTCTATCGCTGTGAATTTTCCGGCATGCAACATATATTAAGGTTGCCCTACATCAAAGATGGGCGTATCTTCATTATTTCTCAAAATTGCTATCTAGAAGCATGAAGTTTGTTGGGATTCACTGTGCTTTTTCTTGGAGCATGAAGCATATGAGGGTTGTCATAAACTTATATTGCTATTTTTCATATCATGACAAACAACTATGCAAAAATTATGAGTTTTGCATGTGTAGTATTTTTCTCATCTCATTAAATCTGCACCTTTTCTTATTAGCAAGGCAGGATAGCTTTCTTGTATTTATTCTAATGACAGGATACATTTGGCAAGCCTTAATGTTCTTTGCACACTCTAGCTTTGTGTATGCGTGGTTTATGAATGCTTTGTGACTGGTCGTTCCTTTAACTTATGTCTGTTGCGTTAAATGCCTTGCATTTTATCCTTATTATGTTATTTTAACTTGAATCTGCCAAATTGTTAACTTTCTGTCATGGAAAGTATTTATTTCTACATAGTTCTATCCCAGTTATATATCCTTTTTAAAAATTACTTATATTACCTATTCTTTATTTTTGTGATCTAAATAGATGATAAATGTACTTTCTGTTGTATGTTGTTGCTAAGTATATTTTGATGGAGTAGCTAGTTTTAGTTTAATGTAGAGCATTTCATTAATATTTTATTCTGTTTTTATTTTTCAAGGCTTGTCAAATGGAGGAACAATTCATACTTCGTGTTCCACCATCAATAGCTGAATGCATAGAGCGCTTGTTGAGTGAAAATCCTTCTACTTCTGAAGATGTCTCCTTGGATTTATCCTTTACAGGTATATGGCTGTTTGATATGTTACAAACTAGAATGTGTTTTCATCATTTATAATAAAAAAAAATTAATATTTGCTGTTGATAAGATTCTATCGCCTATTCTTTAACATTTATGTACTTATGTAGATATTCAAGTAACTTAGCTAAAAGAATTGCACTTCTGCTTACAAATCTGGTGACGCTGGTGCGGGAATCCCATGGTTCGGGAAAAATCCCACGATTGCGGGTGGTATACCGCCCAGTTATCACATTCAACAGAAAATTTTTTCTGTTTTTGGTTTATTTCCTATTTCTTTATTTCTAATTAGAGTTATTTTCTATTAGGAGACTATTTATTGTTGTATTTTATTATTTTTGAGTTTTAAGCTTAGTTTTATGTATTTTGAGAGTGTATTTTCTAGTTTCTGCCCTAAAGGGCGATGTATATTCTTTTCCTTTTGCAAGCGGTGTGCCTGTAACTTGTTCAGATTCAGGTGATGTAACCTTTTCACCTTTTGCAAGTGGTGTGCATGCAAGTGCCCAGCTCGCGTCATTCTCTCGGGGTTAGGGAAGCTTCACCTTAATAGGTCGAAGCTTCTATTTCTTAGTCGACCGTCCTAAAAACACCTGGATCCCACTAGCGACTGCATATTTCCCCAAAACACCTGAGGATTTTCTCACACTTGCGAGCCCACATCTATTTTGATCCACTCTTCTGAAACTGTGGGTCTCACCTGTACTCCTAAATCTTCCCAAAATAATTGACGGTCGGCTCAATCTGACGTGTCGTCTGAGTAGCCTGAACCGTCCCGTCAAGTGGTGGAGCAGGTAGTAAGGTGTCGATCGTGAGGCTCTGAAACACCTTCTATCGTCTCTGCTCCATGTCTGGAGTGTGTATCTCAGTCCTCTTGTCATGAGTTATCACTAAAATGGGCCCCACTAAAGCTGCTCTGTTGGTGAGGGCTTCTGTGATCTTAGACTTCGCCGAAGGACGCAAAATGATGTAATTCTCATTCTTGGTGAAGGAATATATGCTTCTGAATCCATCGTGCTTAGTCCTCCCGGCAAACTGTCACGATCTTCCCAACAGAGGGTGGTAGACATTCATAGGGACCACGTCACACCACACCTGGCCCTGCAGCTGGCTTACAATCGAAAACTCTGCCAAGCATCTTCAATCGATGCTGACTCGATTCTCCTTCCACTACATCAGTGAATACGACTGGGAATGTCTCTGAGTCGCAAGTCTCAATTTCTCTACCATCTGTATCGATGCCACGTTCTTGTTGCTTTTGCTTTCAATGATGAGGCTGCATACTTGATTGTTGTGGCAAAGCCACTGCGAATCTCTTGTGTCCTCAGTCTTTAGGATCTGTCGAATCACGAGCGCCTCTCCTTCATATGGGGGAAGCTGATACACCTCACCCCGTTCCTCAGCTTTCTCTACATTGCTAATCTCCTCCACGACACTCTGACCTGTGAGTGTGACTATCCTGCTCGTGGGATAGCTAGAGGCTGTGGTTGTAGCCGTGACATCTGTAATCCTTTCTGGCTAATACGCCGTTGGAGGAGCTACCTTTCTCCTATTTCTTCTCACTCTGACCCAGAGTGTCATTCTTTTGTCTAGACTTTCTAGTGTCTCCTGGAGTACTTTTGTCGGTCGTGGTAACTGCATATGACTGCCTGCTTGATGGTTGTTACTTGAAGGACGACTGTTGCTGGCTCTGCTTCTGGTGCCTTTCCATCTTTAGGGCTAATGTTTGAACATTTTGAAGTGATGAATAAGGCTGCAGATGCATTAAATTGCTAATAGCTGGCTTCGGACTCCCAGATAACGGGCTATGGTGTGCTCCTCTAGTTCAACCAGATCACACCTCATTTGCAATTGATCAAAATGCTATGTGAATTCCTCTAATGATCAATTTAAGGATTTTGAAGAAGGTGAATATGATATTTTTGACTATTATGCATGATTTATAATGGTGATCAACAACATAATCAATTTGATGATTTTAAAGAAACTAAAAGTGATCTTTTTGAGTAATACTTATTGTTTATTGGGGTGATTGAGCATTATTGTTTTGGATTACTTTGTTATCATTTTTTTTTTGGTTTTGCTAAAGGTCTAAAAGCTAGAAACAATGGATGCATTTAATTGCAATTCACCAAGCACCTTACATTAGGCTTTGTACATAACTTTGGATGTTGAAATGTATTATAATAATTCTAATAAGAGCATCGTACTTATGATTAATGTCTCTTAAGAGAAAGCAATAAAAAATCATCTTGATCCTATTGAAAATACATTAGCACTATTATCATATATAATTGAAGTTGATCTGGTTGAAAAAATGGTAGTTCATGAATTTCTGAATGATTTTGAAGATCATATTCATAAACTTGTAACTATAATTGATGAATAGTTAGAACTGAATTTTGAAAGTAAAATTTAACATGAGATCACACTTGAACATGAATTATAATGAGAACTAAAATTATTTTTGATTGTGAATCTGAACCAGTAATACCTTTTATAGTTGATGAATCAATTTAGCATTTTGAAAATGCAACTTTGGATGAGTTATCTGTTGATGTTTTTTCTATAATAAATAATGAAACTGTTGTGCAGTAAATTTTTGTTGCATGGTTTACTAACTTACAAATTCATAGAATGGACCTTATGATGAGAGTTAAGTTAATGTTTTAGAGACTTTATTAATAGTAAATGTCTTAAAAAATGCTTGAAATATAAAACTCAATCCATCTAGATAATGCTTAAAGTGCATAATTAATCCCAACTTTTTTGAAGGTATTTGAGTTAGCAGTTGTTTGATTTGTTGAAAAAGGAATGCATACATTTTGAAAATTTTTAAATTGTTTGATTCAGTGTAAAATAAAATTAGAGTTTATATTTTTATATTTAGTTTGAAGATAATTGAAATAATTTAAAGCAAGGTTGGAGTGGGTAGGCGGTGGCAGCGGTTGAGATTCGGCGGCGGCATGCAACTGTGGCGGTTGATGGTGGGCGGTGGACGTGACAGCGGCAGACTGTGGACGTGTTGGTTTGCGCTAGTGAATAGCGGCCGATGATGGTGGCGAAAATGAGTGCATTATATAGTGGATTTGGTAATTACTCAAATTTGGCGAATTTGAAATACATCAATTTTGAATTACAAGTTGAATTATAAATTCACTCCAACCAAACATTAAAATTCTAAAAATCCCTATATTTCATTTATATTTCACTGCTAATTCAGGTAACTAAATGACCACATAGTTTTTCTAAAGGTTGTCCGTCCATAATTGGTTTAAAATAACTGTGGCTTGTCTGCTTGCAGTTGCAGCAGTATTTCATTTGCTAGAAATTAGTTATAGGTCGTTCGTATTTGTATTTTTAAGATTTCATTGACTGCTAACAATGAAAAGTGTTAGCTTTTTACTGGTGTGAACAAGATGTCTGTTGAAATGTAAGCCTGGTGGTATATAGTCAAGATATGTTTAACTATAGAAAAACTTCCATGAGGAGCGCTTATGAAATTTTATGTAAGGATAAATAGAATTACTAAAAATTTTTCGACGTATTGAAACTAATGGTTGCAAATTAAAATATAAAAAAATTATAGCATAAATATATTTTTAATTGTGTTTGATTTGTCTGTTTCATAATTTTTTTGCCTTTTTATTTCTTTTCATTTCTTTCGTGTGAGTTTACATACAAGTATCAACCATATATTTTTATACAGCTCGTCTCTGGACTATAGTGGATGACGACATTATGTTTATTATGGATGACTACTTTCAGGGATATCTATCTCATTGACTAGCATTATGGATCTACTTGTAATGATTCTTGAAGTGCTTTATCAGAATCACAAAATTAATTATTTTTTGGCATGATGATTATAATACTCAGTTAAATGGAGTATTTTTTTTTTCAAGCCTTGCCATGAGTTTTGTTATGGATATGCTATTTTTTCCTTTGCATGCAATATTTGATATACTACTTTTTTTGCAATCTATGGTGTGTGGGTTTGCATGCGTTTCTTTTGGCCTTAGTTATGTCAGAGCCTGATCTTTGATCACTTGATAGTTCAACTTTTGTGGATGAGGAGTTTTGGGGATTTGAAATTAAAGGCTAAATTGGTTTTTATTATCTTTTGAGATTGAATTTAAATTGAGCTGATCTTGTGCCAACCATATTTATTACCGAGGATATAAAGAGCTTATAAATAAATGTTTTTAGGCATTTGATGTTTTCTGGTTTTCAATTTTATGTTTGCAATTTGCATTCATGATTCCTTAGTGCTGAACAGTGCGACTATCTAATTCCCAGTTAGTATTGATCTAAGGCTTGATTTTTCTTGTTTGGTTTTTTTATTCGTTGTTCTTCTTTCATCTATGTAATTTGATATTAAATTAATTAATTTTTTTGTTCAAATTTGACGCATGGAAAATTCAATTTGCAGAAATTAAATTGCAATTTTCTCACTAATTTTACATGATCTTAAATTCTTGTTGTATATCTTATATTTTGTTTATTTTTGTTTCTAATTCTAATATGATCTATTTATATTTTATGAAAATAAGTTGTTGAATTGATTGATGGATTGTGAATTGTGAAACCGAAAGTTCCTTTACATGAATTCACAACAAACATCATATTAATTGCACTAGAAAACTCCAATCTTGAATCTTTATGCAACATTAGATTAAAGTCGTTGGTTTGCTTCAGTGTAAACTTAGTTGAGCAATAAGAAGACTTTTTTCTGCAGATGATGGAAGGACTGGTACTTTTTGCATTGGTAATGATAAGTTTCCTGCCTCTCTCTTGGATCTTCCTGGCATTGTGGAGTCTTATAAAACTTACGATGATACAGTACTAATCAAAACTGCTGATATTGGTCAGGTATAATATCAACTTCATTCCTTCTGCCTTTTTAAGTGCAATTTGTGAATCAGCCCCTTATTTTGCAGATAATCATGGTGAGGGAAGAAGGTGAACCCGCTCCGGAAGGAATAGAATACAGGCACGGTCTTACCCCTCCAATGAGGGATGCTCGTAGGCGACGGTTCCGCAGAGAACCCGATCTCAATGTATACAATCAGAATCCAAGTCTTCTATGCTTATTTATAATTTTCTTCATGGATCTGCCACATTTTTCTCTTTCATTGTGCAGCCAGAGCTGGTACAACGGGTTGAGAAAGATCTTTTGAACATCATGTCTGGTGGGACAGTGGAAAATATCCTTTGATACAGCGTTTTTCATTTTTTTTTTTTTCAAAATCGCTGTTGGAACTATTGCTGCACTAATTAGGCAGATGGTACACATCATTGTGTAGAACCAGGGAATACACACGCAGGGAGAGAGAGAGAGAGAAGAGCGTGGTTGAGAAATTCACACGTTCTCTATTCTTCTCATTTTATCACTCCTGTGCCTCTAATCTCTTCTCTCTCTCTCTCTCTAATCTGTCTTTTATCACTTGAGTTTCTCTCTCCTCTCTCTGATCTCTCTTCTTTCACTTTAGTAGTGCTTGCCTAATTATTTTTCCTCATTATTTTCTCTATGTTCTGACCGCCTGTTATTTTTAAGGGGCATATACATTCTAGCACACAGTTCTTATGTAATTACATATCTCACACCTAGACTTCCAAGTTTACACACATATCACTCAAATATTTAATATCACATAAAAAATAGCATTATTATCAATTTTTAAATATAAAATACACCTTTTTATGTATAGGTTTAGGGCACCTAACTGCAATGTATGTAATTATGAAAGTTTAGGTGTGAGATATGTAAATAAATTAGATTTCTGTGCTACGTATGTAAATTTGCCTATTTTATTTGATATCATTGCCCTCATTTGCTTAACTCCTTTTTGCAAGATCACAACCAGACTTTGCAAATGGTGAGCGCAGGAAAATAGCCCAGGTTCCCGCAACAAAACCAGATGTTATTCCTACTGAAACCGTGAAAGATGGAGAACCAGAAAGAAGTGATTCTGATGATTCGATGGAACATGAGAATTAGAGATAGGAACACGAAGCAAATAATGAAATGCTGGAGATCAAAAGAAGCAGAGGTAAAGCCTCCTTCGAGGTTACACTCAACAAAGAATGAAACGCTTTCACTCTAAATTATCATTGAATTTCAGTTAAGTTTCAGAGTCTGTATGTGCCACATTGTTATTTCAACCGAGTAAGTATGTCTCAAAGCCATTTTGCTACTCTCATACCACTCCAAATTGCTGCTATTAAGACTAGCTTTATGAATGCTATAGTTCAAGTCTCATGTATGCGTAGATTGTCTTAGTGTTTCAATCTTACATATAAATGTAATGAAGTTTTCTTCATCATGACTACTACTGCTTCATTCTTCAGTAACAAATCCGTACTTTGCCACACATCAGCATATTTTATAGTTAAAAACTTATTTTAAAATATATATCCTTTAATGTCCAACTTCTACTTATTTATATCCTCTTCTCTAGGGTGTATGCTGGTAGTTTTCTGTTCTTTTCTCTAGAAGGAAAACAATAGATGTGATCATTGCACTTATAGCATATACAATCTTTGATACACTTACAATTACAGTAGGTTTGTTTTGTACTTTTAAAGAAGAGAGGGGAACTTTTATGGAGCTTGTTTTCCATTAAAAGAAGCCTTTGAAGCTCAAATAAATTATGTGAGCTATAACCATCTCTGTTTAAGCTTACAAATAGATGGGATGCCCTTGCAGGGCCTAGTCACTTTCATGTGTAGTTTAAACTTGGAGAATGTAGGGTGATAGGCTTGAGAGGTGCAATTTAGGCTTTGGAAAACTTTATTAATTGAGATGTTGATCCAACTATTAGGTTCATGTCATTTTGGCTCTAATTTTGATGGTGGAGATATAGTTGACTGGCAATATCTCTAGAAAAAATTGTATTTTCATAATCTTCTTGAGCAATAATGGTAGGTTTGTAATATGCTATATTTTAAGAGCATATTAGGAGGCCAATAATTGATACACTCCTTTGAATTACGGTGTCGTTATGTCATCACATCCTCCTCAGTATTCATGCAACTCTAATATAATAATTGATGTCTATATTGAATCGATGAATCATTTGATTGCTATTCTTCTGATCTTGGTTTGGATTATTTAACTTGATCAAATCTAAAGTAGACCAATCCGATAAAAATTGATCCAAGTCAATTTTTAAGGATTTGTTGAACTAATTGACAAGAATGCATATAGAGAACTCGAAAAGAATGAGAGAATGAATATAAGTGAGAAAGTGGGAGTTTTCATCTTTTATCTTGTTACACTTTTGCCTTCTTCTTTCATTAATTGTTTTCTCTTCCCCTTCTTTGACCTTCATGGTAAAAAGCAAGGAGAGTGCTTGCTAGATATTGAATGACGAGAGGGAGAGAATTAGAAGAGGGCATATAGTGAGTTTTAAACATAATAATTGCTTAATTGCTTGACTGCATTAAAGTATAACCTTAATTAGAAGGCATGGAAAGTAAAACAAATAATATAAATAGAGCTATTTTCCTTGCACTTTATGCTCTCCCTCTAATCTGAAGGGGGTGGCCATGTGAAGTGAGAGGAGAGAAAAGTGATGATAAATTTACTTATTTTTTGATTCGCGCACTTTGATCTAGCCTCACGTGTGCCCATTTACTTTTATGCATAAATTTATGCATATACAAGTTTGTATTTGGAGCCTATTTTATTATGATTCCAATTTTCTTCAATTTTTTTCAACAGGTAGTTGGTTAAAGCATTCTTGCTCTATCTTTTTTATTATTCTATTTGGCTAGCTTGGTCATCTTTTTCATCTTTATAATCTTGTAGGCCTCTATTGTTTTTCTATTGTGGTTCTATTCTTCATTTAGATACTCTTTAGTAGCTAATTCTCTTCTCTACTCTTCATCACAAAGTTTCAAGTCCTTCATCTATTGATTAAAATGTATTTATTCATGTTGAAAGGAGATATAGTTTTAAAGAAATTGTTAGTTTTATATTTGTAGAATCATGAATGGACCGTCTTTAATTACTTTCAGTTTTACCATTCTCATTTGTCTCTCATTCCTGACCAAAGCCCAACAAAGCTCCTTAAAAGGTACTGAGAAATTTAGGCTCATCCTGACAAGATTTGTGTCGAGTTTAGTTTAAACATATGTAGTTTTTTCTCAGTACTGGAGATGTGTGTGTGTGTGTGTGTGCACGTAAATGAAGTCTTTAAAAATAATTTTAAAAATTTAAATTATTTTAAGCTGACATTTTTTAATAAGATGATTGAAAGAATATATTTCCAAACCTAATGAAACAAACTTATCAAATCAATTTTGGGAACGAAGGTAAAATCACCTTAAATGGAGCAGGGTTCCCGACCCTTCAACAAATGTAGAATTGGTTGAGAGGCCCCTTTAATAAGATAAAGGCTTTCTCTCCAAATTGAATCGACTCATTTTTCTCTTAGGATTGGATGTGAGACCACCGTAGAAGGTCTAATGCTCTCCCACCAAAGGTAGTCGTTCAAAGAGAAGAAAATCAAAATCAATAGTTAGGATCAGGAGTAAGCCCCTAAATGGGATTAAGACACATATTCTTTAAAAATTCCCTAGGATTGGGGGTAAGCCCCTCTACCCCACTAAATGTTATTTAGACACCCTTTCCTCAAAACAATTATGAGGCTTGGAAGTTAGATTTGACTCAGGTTAAGCTTAGATTTGATTTGGGTTTGACCTGGGTTAAGCTGGGTTGACTATGGTCTGTTTAGATTTGACCAGGGTTAAGCTTGGTTGACCCAAATTGGGTTATGTTTTATTTGAGTTTGTCCTGGGTTAAGCTGGGTTGACTTGTGTTTGGTTTGGTTTGAGTTTGGCGCAAGTTAAGCTGGGTTGACCTAGGTTGGGTTGGGTTTGGTTTGGTTTAGGTCTGGATTGGGTCAAAACTGTGTCATATTATATTTGAGTTAGGTTTAGGGTTTATATCAAGTCTTTGTTGAGTCAGATTTGAGTCAGATTAGACTTGGGTCAGGTTAGGGTTTGGATCATGGCTTAAGCCTAAGTTGGGCTAGGTCTAGGGTTTGGGTTAGGTTTTGGCTAAACCTAGGTTAGGTTAGGTCTAGGGTTTGGGCTATACCTTGATTGGGTTAGGTCTAGGGTTTGGATTAGGTTTGGTTTTGGGTTAGGTTTGGGCTAGACCTAGGTTTGGGTTAGGTTTGGCTAGACTTAGGTTGGATTAAGTTTAGGGTTTGGGCTAGATTTGTTTAGGTGAGTTTGAGTTTGGCTGGGTTCGGGTCGACCTAAGTTGAGCCTAAACCCAAGCCTAATCCAAGACCTTTGAGTTGATTGACCTAGTTTTAAGACTGTTAAATAAAAATGCTTAAATTAAGGAAAGAAGGAGAATTTACCGAGAGAAGAGGAGGCTGATCGGTGAAGGAGGAGGCTTGTCGGAGAATTGCTTCCCTTCTTTTTCTCCCTCTGCACTTCTTCTTCTTCTGCTAGTAGTGTCCGAACCATCCCATTCTCTCTGTCAGATAGATGTGGAATACAGTGTCAGGACCCCCTGGAGCCGTCCGATGAGGTGGTGAGCCAATGATGGAGATAAGTCTGATGGTTAGTGAGCTGCAGATTGCCACCAACGAAAGGGTGCGACAATTTGAGGCCTGATCAATGGACGAAGGCCACAGATCGTTGACTCGACATGCCTGGGCGCGGTCACGCCTGGCCAGGCGTGACCACACTGAGGTATTTTGGTGTGTGGTCACACCCAGTACGCTAGACCAAAAATGATCAGGTTGCCTTTTTGAACAATTTGGTTGTGTTGGACCATGAGGTGATGTTAGTGCGAGTCCTATGTGACAAAAAATGAGGTTAACAACCGTATATCCAAGAAATAGTATATTTTATCTTCATCTATGCCTTTGTCTAAAAAAATAAAAAAATATTTTTTGGCACCTCATTATGGGTTAAAAATGGGTTTTAGGGAAACTCAATTTGAGCTTTTTCATAACATATTACAGACTTCAAGCAAAGGCTACAACTAATAATCTAGAATATGTCAAAAACTCTTAGTAGATTTTCTTTAAGCTCTTCTATCACAAGTTAGGTCACTAAGTAGATGTTTTGACTAACAACTTAGGATAGGTTGTGTATCCCTCATTAGGGAGATTTTTGTTCATCTCTGGAAAGTCAACCTAGAATGGGTTGACATTATTTGACTAAATCCAAAATTTTGGCAATTCTCAACTTGATTTGCAATCTAAGATTGTATCGTGACATAACAAATAAAAAAACATTTAGAAGATGTAATACGAAGTATGTTGAAACAAACCAGTTATCAAAAAGTTTAGAAAGTTATAAGTCTACAGACGTTCAAACGAATACACTATCAAGATATGTACAAACAACATAAAAAAAATTGCAAGAATAAACAAATTGAAAAGCAAAAACTTCTAGTTACCTACAATATCTTCCTCATTGTCTAGGATAGGCTCCTGTAAGTCACTCTTCATCTCTTCCCCTTATGATCAGGAAAGGGGGCCTTCGAAGGCCTGGCTGGGAGTAAGTCACTCTACATCAGCTCTGGTTCGACGGTGCATCGCTCGAGTTCACTTCATGAAACCCTAGATAAATCCCTCCTCATTGCACTCCTTATGTATCTCCTTCACTTTGACTGCATAAATATGATCACGAGCCTCCTCAACATGATCCAAAATAAGGCTCCTAAAATAAAATGAGTTCATAAAGTCTTTCACCGCCTTCAAGCCAAATCCTGTTTTGTCAACCTCCTTCTCGGACTTCAATCTCTTTTTTTTCTCCTCCAGTATAGAAATCTCCACTCTTAAGGCTTCAAGCTCTTAGAACTCTAAGTAAGGTTTGTTTGTACCTCCACCAGTTCATCTCAAGTGCTCTCTAAATTGTGACACTACAATAAGAGAGAAGTCTCCATCGTGGATGGCTATGTCCTGCACTCCATTGACTGAGTTTCTATGGCATAACTCTCTCAACCTTAGAATCATATCAGTATTTATACTCATCATGGAGGAATTTGATCTTGATAAATTTACAGTTCCATTATGACAAGGAAAGATTGAAACCCGCTCCAAGTTCCATATTTTTAGCCATATGAAATAAATAAATGTGTTTGTGAGATGGAAGAACTACAAAATAAAGAAATTTGACGCATGAAAAAGAAAGCTTACAAATTTCTCAAATTGCTAATATCAATTACATGAATGATTTAACACACTCTCTGGAATAAGCATCTTTGAACGACCGGTTAGAGAATATTTTGATCCTTCACTCTTCTTACTCTACGTTGGAGGAATAATCTCCCAGTCACTATTTGATAAGGGTG